GTGCGAGCTGTGTGAGCTGCGTATTGGCTGACTGTCGCATGGGCCGATGGTGTGCAAGGTGGTGCAGCCGCAGCGGTGATGGTCCTTGGTTCTTTTTCTCATGCTCGTGGCAAAGAGAGGGAGATTGGTTTCAGCTGTTACTGCTGTGTATCTTTGTCATGCATGGAGAGAGAGTGCATGTGTGAGAGGTGTGTTGTGTGTGTGTGTATCAGTGTGTGTGTGTGTGTGTATGAAGCTTTATGTGTATGGCTGCCGTGTGCATGCGTTGTGTGAGTGTGTGGTCTGTGTCAATGGTGTGTGTGTGCTGGGTGTGTGCCCGTGTGCATGGGTTTGCCGTGAGTGAGAAGACGAAGTTGGTGGCTTGTGTGTGTATGAGAGTAGAGTGAGTTGTGTGGTATGCTCAGATCAAGGGTGGTGTGAGTGTGCCTTGTGTGAATGGTGTCTGTGTGTGTATGTCTCTTGTGTGTGTTGTGTATGCCTTTGCTGGGTGTGAAGGTGCTACCCGTGGGTGTGATAAGTGTGTATGAAGCTCTGTCTATGGCAGCGTGTAGGAAGCTCTGTGTGTTTGCCGGAGTAATCAGCCCAGGTCCTTGAGTTTGTAAACCAAAAGAGCTGGAGAGAAAGTTGATTTTTTTTTTTTTTTTTTTTTTTTTTTTGTTTTTTGGGCTCAGCTCAAGAATGCTCCTCCATGCACCGAGGGAGAGAAGAGTATGATAGCACAAAGAAAGGTAATCCGAGGGTCCAGAGAAGGGTCCAGAGAAGGGTTTGGATTGATGAGAGGAAAAGTGGGATCTAACGGTTGTGATCGGATCTGGTGCTGCGGTGGTGAAGTGTTGAAAAATCTGCCATTGAAGAAGAAATTAGGGAAATTTGGGTTTGTCCGGCGGGCGGCCAAGGCGAGGTTGCCGCCCGCCGGTGAAGCGGAATTACTGAGTTGTTAACCTAGCTCTGATACCATGTAAGATAAATTGATAGAGAGAGAGAGAGAGAACAAGTGCATAAATGAGATGTTATTGATATTTTGAATGTTATACACGGTCTCCTTTATATAGGAGAAAATGGCCTAAGTGGTATACACACTATACAAAACAACATCATAGCCTAAAGGGAAAGTGGTCACCAAAAGGGGAAAGGGTACACTAAGGAGACAACATTATTAAAGCTAGTTGGTATTTTACAGCTAATATATATATGCACTAACATATAATACATATACTAACATCATACATGAGCATTGGATTTTATTTTGTTTTTTTCTTTTTTAGGGTACTATACACATGAATCAAATTGTGAAATGTGCAATTCACCATCAACTCTATCCCTAAATACATTCACTTAGATTCCCATTAACATACAAAAAGTTGTGAATTGTAAGATTATGATAACAGAGCTTATCAACATCCATACACATCAACAGAACAGTTGAAAACTATTAGATCAAGCCTACAGTAAATCAACAACAAACACAAAGGATCAATAATCATTATCATACCAACTTAATTAAGAGCAAAAATCAAAATTCCAATCTTTTCTGGCAAAGCAAAAGGCCTTCCTTTCAACAAGGGAGAAGAAAAAAAAGACACCAATAAGCTAGAATCATATTCATACCAACTTGATTAAGAACTAAAATGAATATTCCAATCTTTTTTGATGATATAGAAGGCTTTACTTTCAACAAGGAAAATGACGTGTATAAGCCCATAAAGGCCACGAATCACTATGAACAATCCAAGGCCATCACTTTGAGCCCAATGCATAACTCAGCTGGTGAGGTCCAGGACAGCTGGAGTCCAAATGAGTGGAAACACTAATTAGTGTTACCATTAATGATGTAGCAGTGGTGTGTGCTATTTATTTATTTTTATTTATTTATTTTTTTTATTTTCATAGTGAATTTAAAACTCAATATTTAAAGTTCTAAATCATTACTGTTACTTTAAAATCCTCAAGTAACTTTTCTGGAGTAGGTCAGCACTGACAGTGGGTAAGTCTGTCAATCTGCCATCTGAGCTCAAATAGTGGCTTCTAATGGAAAATTTATGGGCAAATTACATATACACCCCTCGAGGTTTGGCTAAATTACAGATACTCCCCTGAGGTTTGAGAAATTACGAATTCCCCCCTGAATACTATATTTGCATAAGAAATTAGGGGGTAATTTGTTATGAAATATAAACCTCAGGGGGTAAATTGTTATGAAAATACAAACCTCAGGGGGCGGGATGTAATTTCCGAAACCTCAGGGAGGTATCTGTAATTTAACCAAACCTCGAGGGGTGTATATGTAATTTGCCCAAAATTTATTTGGTTTCTATGGTAATTTCCGCCTATGCCCGGGTATATGTTTTGCACCCCACACCCAATTATATTGATATATATAATTTAATTTTTAAAATATGAAATTATTAAAACACTAAAATTGATTTCCAATGTCAAAAATACAATTTTTGTGGATGAAGTCGCACTACAACAAATTAAAATTATAATGATACATTTAAGAATAAAAACACCTTTTAAGAAATAAATATTTTTCTTGTCAAAAATATCATTACTATATTTGTAGCGATCAAATTGAATATTTAGTGCTGAATTATTATCTATTTTAAAATATATATTTTATCTCATAAAAGTAAATATTTTTTTGACCAAATTATTTTTGACTGCATTTATTAGCAATATTTTCAAACGTTTATCAACTTTTCAAGACGATCTTGCAGTCACTATCTGGATTCTCGAATATTTTTATATAACAAAGTTTTCACTCTTATATATGTTAGCAGAGTTTTCTTAAGTTTAATTGTCTGATTAGAAACTCTCTAAAGACCAAAACTCACAAATTTGTCATCACCCTAATCAGGTTTCAGTCAAATTTAATTCGAGATTTCCTCAAATTTAATACAAAAATCATCTGAAGTGTTTATGGAGTGCTGGCAGACTTAAAACATAGACTCCAGGGCATACGAATGCCATAATCAACAAAATCTAACAAATTTATGATATACACCTACATTTTTTTTTTCTTTTTATTCTTTATTCTTTATATATTTCTTATTCATCCTTTTGAATATCACATTGATCTCTGTCTCTCGCTTGAACACGGGAAAGCGAAAAAAGCACAGACACCGCGGTGAAGAGAAAGATTTTATCAAAACACACGAAATATGTGCACAGCTTCAAAGAATTTGATGAACATTACTTGAAGGGTTAATTACACTAATAGTCTTTATAGTTTGGGACTTGTGTCACTTTGGTCCCTGACTTTTTAATTGTGACACATTTGATCCTGAATTTTAAATTTTGTTCCAAATAAGAACAATTGAAAATATCATTAGATTTTTTAAGGGTAAAATCGTCAATTTAATAAAATATAAACTAATTTGACAAAAATAAATGTCAAAAAAATATTTTTAATTTTTTTAAAATTATTTTTATCCACCAATGATAAAATTATGTAAAATTAATAAAAATTACATGATTAATTTTTTTTAATTAATTTTACATGATCATCATCCAAATACATAATAAAAATTAATTTGGTAAAAAAAATAAATAAATGCCTAAAAGATTTATCAATTTTACATAATTTTATTTTTAGTAGGTAGAAATAATTTTTAAAATTCAAAAATATTTGTTTGACATTTATTTTTGTCAAATTAGTTTAAATTTTATCAAATTGACAATTTTACCCTTGCAAAATCTAATTATATATTCAATTATCCTTATTTGGAACAAGATTCAAAATTCATGGTCAAATGTGTCACAATTGAAAAGTCATGGATCAAAGTAACACAAGTCTCAAACTATAGGGACTATTTGTGTAATTTGCCCTTACTTGAAGGGTGAGAACGCTGGGAAATTAGAGGTGAAAATATTGCATGAATTTTTTTGAGAATAATGTTTGAGAGCCACAATTTGTGTGGCTCAAATGGCTCAAAATTGTCAAAACGACGTCGTTTTGGCATGTTTTGTGCTCAAAACGACGTCGTTTTGGCAGTTTTGAGCCATTTGAGTCACAAAAATTGTGACCCTCTACCATTGCCCTTTTTTTGATGCTTTGAACTTTCTGTTCCTTAAATAAGAACCACAACATGAAGGCTCTCCAAGATCTGACATGATGAAATAATGACAAATCATACATGAGCATTGGATTTTATTATTTTTTTTTCTTTTTTGGGGTACTATTCGCATGAATCTAATTGCGAAATGTGCAATTCACCATCAATTCTATCCCCAAATACATTCACTTACAGATTCGCATTAACATACAAAAAGTTGCGAATTGTAAGATTATGATAACAGAGCTTATCAACATCCACACACATCAACAGAACAGTTGAAAACTATTAGATCAAGCCTACAGTAAATCAACAACAAACACAAAGGATCGATAATCATTATCATACCAACTTAATTAAGAGCAAAAATCAAAATTCCAATCTTTTCTGGCAAAACAAAAGCCTTCCTTTCAACCAGGGAGGAGAAAAAAAAAAAAAAGACACCAATAAGCTAGAATCATATTCATACCAACTTGATTAAGAGCTAAAATGAATATTCCAATCTTTTTTGACGATATAGAAGGCTTTACTTTCAACAAGGAAAACAACAGATAGTTCGAGCACAAGACATGGAGAAAGAATAAATACATGTATGCAAACACAAATAAGCTAGAATAGAACTGCAGACAAACTGAACTGCAGCATATATCAATAATCATACCAACTTGATTAAGAACTAAAATTAAAATTCCAATCTTTCCCAGCAAACCAAAAGGCCTTCCCTATCAACAAGGAAAACAACAGAAAGTTCGAGTGCAAGAAACAAAAAACCAAAAAACACACACAAAGAAACTAGAATAAAAATGCAGACGAACTGAACTGCATGCCACACTCACAACCACCAACAAGAGGAGTAGTGATAAGTTCATCATCCCATTCAAATAACCAAGAATTCTAGACTCTCTGATGCAGGGGTAATGGGATGAACACTGTCCATGAGTTCCGCTAACTCATCAATCTCTCTTCTTTAACTTTTCCAGCAGGGTTGTTTAGAGTAGTGATTGGCTTGACATATACCCCAATAGATTCAAGTTCTCCACACTTAGTACTGCCGTGAAATCCACCAAACTGTCTGTCCTGCCCCATTTGAAAGATGAACTCCCTATCACACTGGTGTTGCTGTCCAAACGGTCCATAACGGCCTTGGTTTGTATCAAATGTGATAGAAGTAACTTTGTAGCCATAAGTAATGCTATAACTACCAGATATTGATGTCAAAAACTCATCTGGATAATTGAGCTTAACCTGTTTTTAACACAATTCAGATGGAAAAGATAAATCTCCTTTTTGTACCCAAAAATAAAAATTCTAGTCATATATCTGGTACCTAAGATACAGACAGACTCCCAATTCGTTCATGTTTCCTCTTAGAGGCTGGCCACTACATCCATGAGCACTGCCAGTAACTACTCCACCGTGTAAGTCAGGTGGTATGCAAGATTTAATGTTAGTTGATAACCCTTGTCTTCAGGTGGACTTGCCATGTGTCCTCAATTGAATGGAGCAGTTGTTGGCATGATGTGGGAAAAATAGGTGCAAAGAGGAATTTTTTAAAAATAACAAATCATAATTTAACTAAAAATATGAGTGAACTTTTTTATAAAAAAAAAAAAGCATTTCCATTTTTATGATTATAAACCCGAGATGTATATTTTGTTTTCGATATAAATAAGTTGTGTATTTTGGTTACGTAAAATGTAGGACAACAATTGTGTTTAAGTCATTACAATCTAGAAAAAGGTTATTTCAAATATTAACAAGTTTACCGATATTGAATATATTTTGATTAAATTACGAGGAAAATCCAATATTTGGCAGAGTTTGATGATTCAAAGTCAGGGGCAGTAACAGTGAGTGGCCAAGTGTTGTGGTTCAGTGGCCCAGTTTGCAAGGATTGTGGTTGTGTTTAGTGGACAATATTCTGTCGATTTTTGTCTCATAATGATGAGGGACATGCCCCACAATGGTGAAAAGGAAGGTCGACAAGGAATAGTCAATATTTGCCAGAAGGGACTTGAAGATTCGAAGTCAGGGGGCAGTTACAGTGGCAGTTATGGTGTAGACGTGTGGGATCATGTAATGATAGGCCACAAAAATAGTATACGGATATCGAAACCAACGATCTCCCTTCTAGGCTTTCCAAGTATACTAAACCTCCACTTCTATCTATCAATCTCCCTTTTCTTGTGTTTATTTCATGGCCACCAACTGTTTGAAACTTTTGTCGATAGAGCAAGGCTCCTGCTTTGTCTCATGCTTCCTCCTGAAAGTGTGCCCACTAACTCCATGACTGGTGCTAAAAACTTCCCCTATCACTTCTAGGTGACCCACATGTAGAGAGCCCACTTTCAACTGGTGGACATTCCTTCAAACTTGGCCACGTGTCCTCGATTAAGTGGACCATCTGTCGACAGAGACTGGCAAAACTTGGTGCAAACAATGGCCCCCTTTGTTCAAGTTGAATATCATATGAATTAACTTTGCGGGAGTGATTGAAACCCCCTCCAATCACCACCAGCACCAGCACCCCCACCCCTCCCACACACACACATGGGGGCTGGTGATTGGAGGAGAAGGGAAAAAAAAAAAAAAACTGGCCAATCAGAGAGAGAGAGAGGGGTCATGGGGGTGCCCCCTTGTGGGGGTCCAAGCTGTATGATATTTAACTTCAACAAGGGGGCCATTGTTTGGGCCCAATAGCAAATTTCTTACTACAGGCCCAAAACAAACATAAATTACAGCCCAATATAAGAGCATTTAAATATACTGGCCCCATCATAAGCTATAAAAGACCCACCTTTTCAACTTCAAACCACTTCATTTCCCTCTGATTCGAGCTCCTCAGACTGTACTCCTTCTTTTCAAGCATTGCCGGTCAAAACCACAGCACCACAAAACCCTAAGCCATGGCGCCGAAAAAATCTCAACCATCTCCATCTAAGGAGAACAATAAAGACCTACTCCGCTTCCCAGACCCTATCAGAGCACGTATCGCTCCTCTAAAATTTGGTATTACCTTATTGCCCAGCACAAGCTCTATCGCTAAGGCTACTCTAGGCCTTACCTTTGAGTCTTACTTCCCAGACGAGCTAGCTCCATACTATCCCCTTGGTACTGGTGAGAACCTTTTTCTCAACCAACCTAGACTTAAGTGGACTAACTGGAATGTCAGCAAAAACCCACTCAGATCGTGGAGGTCACCAGACTTTGTTTGGCGAAGCTAGGACAGGAGAATTGAAGGTCATGACGCTAAAGTATGGAAGCACCAGAGCATTAGTGAAGCAATTAGACTGTCGACTAAAAATTATGACATGGACAAAGGGTTGATTGCTGCTGCTGCATGCTTTTGGTCACAATCTTGTAACTCCCTACTCCTCAATTTTGGTATGATTTCCCCTACTATCTTAGATGTAGCTCACTTGACTGGTCTCCCAATCTTGGGCAACCCAATTCATGCTCTCCTTGAGCCTTCAAAAGTGACCTTTACTTTAAACACTGACATGTGCTATACAGATTTCGCCAAAAAATACAAAGGCGAGCCTGGTTCCCCTGTCCAGGACAAAGAAAGAACTGCTTTTTACTTACTTTGGCTTTGTGAGTTTGTTTTTTGTGTCCCTGGGTACAAGATCACGAAGGAATACCTCCCCCTTGCCTTGTGTATGCAAGATGGCCAACTTATGACTTTAGCCCCTTATCTTCTTGCCACCCTTTACAAGGCCCTATTTTTCTTTGTCAACAAGAAGATTTCTGGCAACTATGGTGGCCCCTTCTGGCTCTTCCAGGCCTGGTTGTATGCCTATTTCCCTGAGGCATGACCCTCTCCAGCTAACACCTTAAAACTAGTTTTCCACTTCTATGCTAAGCAATTGCTCACTTATAACAGCCAACCCATCCTCACTTTCAGAAATCGTCTTACCATGTTTTACAACCTTCCTTCGAAAAGACCTTCCAACTTGTACATGCCATTTCCAAACTTTCAATTCTCCTCTAGTAGACTTCGCTTCCTCTTCATAGACCCTTGTGATTTACATAATGAGCAAGTCCAAAAACAAAATGAGACTTCGAGACACATTCTCACTTCTAGACATGTCTTGGTTGGCTGTTCCATATCCTCCACCAAGATGTCCAACTATAGTTTTGAGACATATTGTCCCAATCAATGGTCTAGGCAATTAGGTCTTTCCCAAGGTATCCCTTATCCTTATTTCCACCCAACCATCCATGAGGAGATTGCGTCCAAAATCTACTTCAAAGATCCTAGGCAAGCAAAATCCATTCTGACTGAGAACGCCAAACTTTTCCAAGATTTTGGCCCCTTCTTCTTCAAACTTGCTTCGGACTGCTCCACTGCTTTTGACCATTGGTGAGGACTTATGACTGTCATTATTTTCTGCAAGCCACTTGAAACCTGCCTTCACGATACTTGTATTGATAATCTGGGCTCCATATCCTCGCCCTCCAAGCTTAAGGCTACAGGTATCCTTCTTTCATATACTTCATATCCCTGACTGTCTCATGCCTTTTTTTTTTTTTTTTTTTTTTTTTTTTACAACACTAACTTGTTTGACCTTTAACAGCCAAAATTGGGCCTGTTGCTGAACCATTGGTTAGGGACCAACATAAAGGCAAGGCTCCAATGGATCCGACTACTCAGACAAACACCCCCCCAGTTCCGAAATTAATGGGAGACTCTTTGGCAGCCTCGCAGACACAAGCACGGAGAGGAACTACCACTCGTACCCCTGTCGAGACAGAGGTCACGGCGAAGAAGAGAGAATAGCCTTCCACTGCTCCTGCTCTAAGTACAGACCTAAGTGATTCGGATATCCCTCTCAGCCAAATGGTTGGCCAAACAACATCAAATCCTTCAGGGCAGCTCTACCAAGTATGCCTTCACTTTACATATTTACATCATCTCAATTTCCATTCACGCCCGACTGATCACTTACTTTTGTGCAGAGAAAAAGAAGGAGATTACTCCTTACTGCTGATGATGATGAGGATCCTTCCACTTCTCCTTAACACATTCATCCAATTCCCAGTCCCATCAGCAATGTACCCAGAGAACCCACTCTACAACCAACTCCACCACCCCCTAAAGCATTTCAACAAACTTCCTTACAACCTGTTTCACAGTCTTCGCCATAGCAATCTACACAATCTGCATCACAACATCCTTCCACTTCTCCTCAACACATTGATCCAATTCCTAGTCCCATCACCAATGTACCTAGAGAACCTACTGTAGAACAAACTCCACCACCACCTCAAGCATCTCAACAAACTTCCTTACAACCTCCTTCACAGTCTTCGCCACAACAATCTACACAATCTGTATCACACAATCCTTCACAGCTAGAACCTCCTCCTATTGCTCTCAGGGATGTCACAGTTGGGGCTGTCCCGATGGAGGTTGATTACCCAGGGGGCACTGAGCCTATTATTGTCCCTTTTGTCTTTAGCCCTCAACCATCACCATCAAACTCCTCAAATTCCCAAACTTCAAACAAAGAATCAGAGAGAACTGATTTTGACATTTCAATCAACAGCCAATCCTCTCCAACAAATGACAATACAAAATCCCCTCAACTAGAAGTTCACAACAACCAAGGTAAATAGAAATACAAATGTGACTTTTCGTTTGAAAAAAAAAACTTCTCTTTAAGTAACTGGTATTCTTCTCCAATTTACAGGGATGGACATAATACATGACTCATCTCCACGACCAATGTCTGAGAAAGAACTTGAAGGTCCTCATGACTTTCCCCTCTTACCAGAAGCAGAAAAAGAGCCTGAAGGCGTTGATGCTGACATTTCATCAGTACCCGAAACAACTCCTCCTACTGCCACAACCACAGCCGAACAAGGCCAACCGTCTGCGCCCACTTTATCATGACAGGTACTACCATTTCCAACCTCATCCTATTTACTCTTTATTACTTGCAAGCATATATTCTCACCAAACTATTAATGTTCACAGACCATCGTTCCATGTTAGGATATTTGGGCCGAACTTTCTATTCTTCAACAACATCTAGACGAAATATCCCCATTGCCTCAAAGGCTACATCTCTTTCATGCTGAAACTCAACAAACCTTAACCACCTTCATCAACCTTATTAACACCCTAGTTGAAGAAATCATTCTCCACAAACCTGATGAAACCTTGGCCTGTCTTTCTGCTGTTCTAAACCTGTCCCCTAATCCTTTCAACCCCATTCAACTAAAGCAATTGGCCAAGATCATCGGGGAATGGCCAACCCTTTCAGAGATGGTTCAGACTTGCTCTAAAGATATTCAAACCGAAAAAGATATCCTAAACGAAGCCCACACCATATCTACTTCACTCAAACTCAGCCAGCAAACCTCTGCAGCCATTCTTGAGCAACACTCAACACTTGAACTTGAGAAAACCAAACTCATGGCAGAACTTGCCTCTGTCCGGCAAAGAAAGGCTCATCTGCAGCAGCAGCAGCAACATGACCAGCTTAATCAAGAAGCAAGGATGATGCTCTCCCAAATTAGACATTGTCCTACATCAATTCATACAACTAAAGCTGAGTTAGACCAAGCCCAAGCCATGCTGGCAAATGCTCAATCAGAATGGGGTGTTCTAGCCATTCTCTTCCCTAAATCCTAGACTAGTTTATATATGTATTGTTTTGTATTGCACAGAATGCATGCTATCTTTCAGACCATTGTGCAGACTTGTTCATTAATGAATATCAATACTCTGCTTTTGAATGGTCTGTTGTATGGTTTTTTTTTTGTTGTGCAATTTTTCTCCATTTGTGCATTGTTATGAAGTAATCAACTCCCCTTCAAAGTTTCCCACATCGTTGGATAATACTTTTTCATATATCTTCCGTTTATATATCTTCTATGTGGTTGCCCTTCCAAGGATTCGTTTATGTAAAGGATTTCATACTTCTTCACACCAGTATATCTGTCATGTACAAATGTTTAGTATTTTTATTTAGTATCAAAGTCTACATGTTTAGTGTGTAAAGTCAATCAGCCAAATATTTCTGAAAATATGTCATCTACAATACACAACTGACGTAAAATACTTACTTACCGACCGATATACTGGAAACAACCAGGCAGTATGCAACATGACATTGTTTGCAGTTTAAAATTTGTGGCACATTTGCAGTTTAAAATTTGTATTTGTTTGTGCCTGTTCACACGTGGATCAACCACAACATGACCTGTGTGAAAGTCAACGTCAGAGTCCATCAGTTACACATATGAAAGGGGTTTAGTTTAACTGCACGTGAGGGCCCACATGGTGCAGCAGTTACGAGGATATTGCATGGACTAACTGGGTGGATTGCAGAAACGGTCATTGGCAGAATATAGAGCTTGACCTGAAAATGTGAAGTCCACAATGTGCAGGGACAGTCGGAAACATAATAGTAAGGTGGTTCGACAGGAGAATTACATTAGTTTGTTTACCACATGAATTCCTGTGGACAGGTGGACCCCTGTTGGTGCGTTATAGTCACTGCTATTTGTTTGTTCTGTGGGATTTTTTTTGCTTTGTTTTGGACAAAATTACGGCATTTAAAAAAAACGAACAAACATAACTAATGTAGTAAAAGCGAACAAACATTACTACTTTCAACTTGCATTTTTTGTTAGACAAATATCACATTGCATTGGACAAACATTACTACATTCATTTGGACAATATCACATTGCATTGTTTATTCTGTACCCATAACATTGGAATTATGTGTATCACATTACGTACAGGCCACGATAAAAGCAAACAAACATTACTACTTTCTGTCGTTTGTTCCAGTCCCAAATATTGGAATTATGTGTACAATCAATACGTGTGGGAAATTAGTATTATCACAGCTG